TTCTCCCGAAGCAGCTGCCCATTTCGTCCTTCATCGAAATGGGTGACCCTGAAGCTCGGGACTCCGATCTCGACAGGAATGACTGCTTCGGTTTCGAAGGCCAGATGATAAGGTGTTTCGCCTATTTCAGTGGATTATAACTTTAGAATGCGCTTTATACGTTATGCATATTTATTCTAAGGTAAAACCGTAGCGGAAGAAGTAAAATAATGTAAAATTATTCACATAGGCCATGCGTAGAATAATACCTGTGGCAGTTCGACTCGTTGTTCTGTATGCCCAGAGAACATTGTTGAGCTCGTCTGCCCATTTGGCCTTGTGTTGTTCCAGCCTCGGCTTTATACCTTCTAGGATGCACTTGTTAACGGATTCGACCATGCCGTTGGACTCCGGATGGTAGACCGAGGTGAACTGCAGTTTGATCCCATAGCTGGAACAAAAATCTCGAAAAGAGGTGCAGTTAAACTGAGTTCCATTATCAGCTACAATCTGGTTCGGGATCCCATATCTGCAGATGATTGAGCTGAAAACAAAGTCTTCAACTTTCTTGGAAGTAAGACTGGACAACGGCCGAGCTTCAACCCACTTTGTGAAGTAATCCACACCTACGATCAGGTGGGTTACACCACCAACCCCTTTTACGAATGGGCCCAAAAGATCCAATCCCCACTGAGCAAATGGCCATGGTGCTACCAGAGTAGTGAGCTCTTCTGCAGGCTAGTGAGTCAGGTGCGCAAAGAACTGGCATTTCAAGCATCTCTGAACAAAGTGAGTGGCATCCTTGTACATGTTGGGCCAATAATAACCCTGTCTAAGGACTTTATGAGCCAAGGTTCGAGCACCCACGTGACTTCCGCAGACACCTTCATGCACCTCCCTGAGTGCATACTCTGCTTCATAGGGATTCAAGCACCGTAGAAGAGGTAGAGAAAAAGATCGCTTGTAGAGAACCCCATCAACAAGTGTATACCGGGATGCTTTCCTCCTCAACCTCATTGCCTCCTACCTGTCCTCAGGTACTATCCCCTCTCGTAAGAAGGAGAGGATTGGGTTAGTCCAGCTCGGTGTGCCTGGGTCGGTACTGATCTCCATCATCCGTGGCTTCACGAAACTTGGTTCATCTAAGACCTCCACAAAAACTGACCTGGAATGTGAAGAACTATCAGAGGCGAATTTAGAGAGTGAATCTGCCTGTTCATTCTCAGTTCGGGGGATCTTGCTCAGACAGAATTTCTGGAATTTGCACTTCAGCTCGACTATCAAAGCCACATATTTCACCATCACAGGATCAACGACTTCGCAGATTGCGTTAATTTGGTTCACCACCAGCTGGGAGTCACTGTATACTTGGATCGCACCGAGTTTTAACTCTAATGCTAGCTGCAGACCAAGTAGCAGGGCTTCATACTCGGCCATGTTGTTCGTTGCGTCGAAGTTGAACTTCAAAGCATGTTCACTTCGGTACCCATCTGGGCCAATTAAGAGAGCACCAGCTCCTGAACCTTTGCTACTAGATGCCCCATCAACATATAAGGTCCAGTCATTAGGCTCCGGAGTAGGAATGGAATTACCTGGAGTGCACTCTACAATAAAGTCTGCCAGTGCCTGAGCTCGGATTGCAGATCTGTGCTGAAATGTTATCTCAAACTCCCCCAGTTCTACTGCCCACTTAATTAGTCTTCCAGAACATTCAGGCTTTTGCAGAATCTGCCGAAGGGGTTGGTCTGTAAGAATAATGATCGGGTGTGACTGGAAATACGGCCTCAACTTTCTGGCCGAAGTGACGACTGCTAAGGCTGCTTTCTCAGCTATAGGATACCTCAGTTCGGCTCCATGCAGCACACTGCTGATATAATATACTGGTTTCTGCTGCTTGGCTTCTTCTCTTACCAGAACCGAACTAATGGCTTCATCTGAAATTCCCAGATATAGATAGAGGATTTCTCCATCTTTGGCTTTAG